TAGCCGCAGCTTTCTCCATCTCTTTACACTTTTCTACCCACCACTTCTCGTGGTCATTCCTCAGACTCTTGTTGAGCTGGTTAATAACCTATCCCTATGAGGCTTTTGTCCAAGAGAATATTGTCCAGTAACTTTTTGAAAATGAATAGCGGAAACTTGAACGGCTCATTCCGGCAACACCTGGTTGGCAGGGGACAGGGAACTAATCTAAACACAGTTTACAAGTTTCTTCACACCACCCATGAACCACTAATGAATTACTTATAAAGACTCTAACCATTGGGGAGTCCTTGTTAGGAAAAGTGGACTGTACGGTGCGTCACAGTTNNAGAAATCTTATTCATTGCCTTGTCTCATATGCATCAACGAATCTACGTTCACAGATGAACTTGGTTGGTTTAAAAGCATTCTCATGGAAACCTGAAAGGTTCATCCAAAAAAAAACGGAGAAAAACCGAAACACGAGTCCGTTTAAGAAGCTCCAAAAGTGAAGTTATTTATTGAACTACTATTTAAAGGAGACCACCTGCCCGATCTCATTGGAACTAAAGGTTCCTCTCATACTTTGTCATGCATTTTCAAAGGCCCATGAATACTGAGAACATCCAGTGAGACAGTTTACCCAGGTTGACCTCACCAATAGTTGTCTATTCTTTCAGCTGTGTTTGTAAGGCAATCTGCATTGACCGAACGGTGAAGCAACTGTCCACGCTGGCTTCGAAACGGTGTGAATGGTTTCACAGGAAGCGCTATTCTCGCTCACCCAGCAGACGCAGGTCGCCAAGCGCAGCCTGAATCCGCCTGCAGGGGTATCTACTGCGTACCATCTCACCCATCCCAATCCTTGCGAATCCACACCCTAGCCACTATGGAAGCGCTCGGTATTCGTTTGTTCCCACTCAGCTTATGTGCACAGAAGAGATAAGCCTATGACATTCGACTGCCGAAATGGCCGAAGATTGATCGCACGGATCACGCAGTATTCTGGTGTGACACGCGTCGCATCACGCACCCCACTACTCTCTCCGAATTAAGTACTGTGATTTCTATGCGAATGGAGGTTTGTCCCCTTTTAATATGACACTTCCTTGTTTCATCTGTACAGACTGGATGAATCCATGAAAACCGCTGTTCACCTCCGAACA